CTACCAAGCGTGGTGACGTAAGTCTGTTTTGGTACGAAACTATATTTTGGGAAACCTTCTTACCAAGCATGGTGACGTAAGTCTGTTTTGGTATAGAAGTTGATTTTATAAATTGTTTATACCAAGCGTGGTAACGTAAGTCTGTTTTGGTATGAAACATTGTTTTAAATAGTAGTTCCCCAGACGTGGTGACTTTTGTCTGTTCTGGTTTGGAACTGAGAATGGGTACTTTCAGACGTGGTGACTTATGTATGTTCTGATAAGTAGCCCTGTTTTTTATGGAGGAATAAGGGTGGCATATCAAGGAGAGGTGTACTTGGAATAAGGGTGGCATTGTCATATGTGGATATTATTATAACTCTTATTATTATTACTAAATTGGATTTAATAACTTTGAGTCATCATTTCTTTGTGATCTGATGAATTAAAGATATTATTCCTATTTAGAAGTAATAATYTAGATGTTATTGAGAAGGGGAAAATGGTTTGTCATATCAGACAAGTTTTGTTTTAAATCTTTCCTGTTAAAGGAATGGTCTTTTAATTCAAAAGTTTTGATACTGGGAATGTTGGATCTCTATTCAGAGATATTTTATTGAGATTCTTGGGTATATTCTATTTTGCATAATATTGTGAGCTGCATCAATTGTTATATTGCAGTATATTTCTAAGCAAAAATTACATTATCATATTTTGGTGTTCATCACCCTGCATTTGCAAAGAAGGGATTTTCTCATTAGACCCGTATGGTCTAACCCTCATTTTCTATTTTAAATTATGCAATGCAGGAATAGCTGGGTCCGGGATATAAAAGGGAAAGGGAAAATGTGATTATTTTCCTAACCTATTGTCTGCTTTTGAAGATACATGTTATATTACATGTAGTAGTACAAGATTTGTTTTGGAAATTTTGTATGTAGATTTTGTACATATAGCAATCCTTGTACTAGTGGTACCTTTTGATGTAATCCATGTTTCTATATAATGAAATATGTGTTTTATGCAAATGTGGTGTTTGGGGGTGTTACATTAAATGTATTGACGATAACACGACCGCCTTTTGAGTTTCTTGAATATAATCTACCATCCCGTTAACTAACTTCCATGATCCTCCACCAAAAACATCTACTTGAACTTTCTCAATTGTTGACGTTGATTCTTGAGAGTTTGGAGAAGATAATTTCTTTTGGTTGATGCATGAAAATTTTCTCAATATTTCTTCTTGAGAATTTTTCTCAATGTTTTTTGTTGATGTTTGAAGTGTTAAATTTGTAAGTTTATATAAAGATAGAAAATTTGATAAAATCGATGCAAAAAGGACAAAATAATGGTCAAAATGAATGGTCAAATCGAATAAGAGTTGGTCACGTGGGAGGAGCCGGGTGGTCCATTACTCGCGCCATTGTGCTTTCCTCTTCACCCGACGCGTAAAGGGATGGTGCCCGACAACATCAGCTTTTGTCTCTTTAGTCACGTCATGGCCAAGTCACTTCCATTTTAAACATATTTTTGTATTTGGTGGGCCAATATGCGCCGAGTGAGGAGGAAGGAGGAACTCGTGATTATTTTTGTAAAAAATGTAATTTAGGGTTATTTTTATAGCTTTTTTCAAAAGGCTATTTATGTCAAAGAAAACCTTTAAATTCTAAACAACTATCAAATCCTACAAACCAAATGGGACCTAAGATTCCGTATCATTTTAAATCCAAATCCTTCCAATTCCAAATCCAAATCCTTTATGAAATCCTAATATCTCAAAATCATTTCATCAAACCAAACATCACTTCCTGCAGCATTACATGTGTATACAACTAGTCAATTAAAATGGAGTTTGTGTAAGAAATAAGAATGGTAGGACTCTTCATCGGTTAAAATCCAATGGATTTAGGTGGATCCGGTCGAATCCGATCGGATCATCCATTGGATGTTCGATTTTGTCATCCGATCCAATCCAACTAATATCGGGCATCCGATCCAATCTCATGGATGATTGGATTGGTACAGTTCCATCAGTGGGAGATTATTATTGGTTATCCATTAGATCGAATTGGATTCATCCAATATTTTGATTCAATTTTCAACCAGTTAATGAGTTAATCATATATATTTATTAAGTTATTATAGAACGATGCATATAAATATCAACTAGAAAATGATATCCTAAAATGTTAATAATTATATATAATTATTAATCGGATGATAATTGCATAGTCATTGGATTGAATCTTTTTGGTTTTAAGGATGATGGACTACCATCAAAAAACCGACCGGTAAGGATGGCAAAAAAAAAAAAATGAAACCGATGGTGAAAACTGAAAACCAAAACTTTAATGTCATGTATGGGGACATCTTATTGGGGACGAGACGGGAGTCGGGGTCATATTCGGGGATTTTAATGGGGGATGGGGACAGTGATCACCGGCCCGACCCGACCTGATATGTGTATATATATTAAATTTAATTTATATACACACACATATAATATCATTAAAAAATAACATTAAAATTTAAAAGACTTTTATCAACTTTACTACCCCAAATAAGGCTCACAGAAAAGTCTAGTTTATTTGTCTAATCGTGAAATCTTGATGTTAGTTGTATGATGTTTGAATTTCTGTTTACTTTTATATTATAATCTAAGACGTTGTTTGTAATTGGTTTGATTATGTTTGAGACATTTAGACTTGCATCTTTAAAAAAAATTGTAATTTAATTTTAGTTATGAAAATTAACATATTGTAATTTTTTTTCCAGATTGATTTCGGGTTCGGGTATAACCAACGATGAACGGGAAAATCAACAAAAAAGGGGGATTTTTACCCTTAACGGGGATCGGGAAAACCGCGGGAACCTGACGGGGATCCTCGATAAGATCCTCGACGGGATCGGGACCGTTACGATGATGGTTTTAGCTATCAATTTTTGAGACAGGGATACCAATAACTGGTCCGAACCCGGCCCGTTGTCATTCCTACCGACCGATCCAATTACAATTGGATATGATATTATGGCCAGTCGATTTAAATTGGATCGTATGAGTTTGTGTAGAATGCCACACCAAAAGAACTCGATTGTAAAGAATAAATTTAATAGACCTTTATATGACAGAAATGAAAAAGTCCAAGGGTGGTTTTTGTAGTTCACCGTGTTTTTATATGTTAATGTGTAAACAAGAGCGGAAGGACGATTTCAAAATTCAAAGCGGGAAGGGTTTCCAAGCTCAACCATTCAATCGCGTATCTTTCAAATCATCATCATCATCATCATCCAAGGTACTCTCTACATTCTTTAACTTTTAGTAAGAACTTTGAACGCATACTAATTTCGTCTCCTCATATGTTGATGTTTCTCCCCCAAAAATTTAGCGAATTGAAAGTGTTTATCGTTGACCAGGAGATAAATTTATACAAGTTGAAGATCTTTGATAGAGTAACAGATACTGTTTGGATTTCAGTTTTTTCTTAAAACTAGAAATGGGAGTCGAGAATTATCATGTGATAGAGCTTGTCGGGGAAGGATCTTTTGGTAAAGTATACAAGGGAAGAAGGAAATTCACTGGCCAGGTATACAGATCCCCTTTTTCTTTCTTTGTATTGTGACTACGATAGTTGTAGAATTTTGTTTGATTTATATTTTTTTCCCCTTTGTCATAGACGGTTGCTATGAAATTTATACTTAAGCACGGCAAAAGCGAAAAGGACATTCATAATCTGAGACAAGAAATTGAGGTATTTACCTTTTATTCCCTATGTAATTAGTTCGTGTCCTTGAGTGTTGGGAGTAAGTCATTGACATTCATGGCTTTGCCCTTTGCTAGCGACCAGTAGCTTGGTTTGGTTATTGTACATCTGAATGGGTTATTACCATTACAATCTGATAAGTATTTACGGCATATGCTGATTTTCTTACTCCATGATGATGGCCACTTCCTGCAGATCTTGAGAAAGTTAAAGCATGAAAACATCATTCAGATGCTAGATTCCTTTGAAAGCCCGCAGGAGTTTTGTGTTGTCACTGAATTCGCTCAAGTAACCCACCGTGTCTTCCCTCTCACAATCATCCTTTTGATTTGCTTTTTACATATGTTACTTGTTTGTATCATGTAAAAGCAAAAGAGCAATGTGCCTTTGCAAAGAATACATTAACAATGGTATGGTTGTATCTGTTTTTCATTGAATGCATTTTTATCCAGGGTGAGTTATTTGAGATTCTCGAGGATGATAAATGCCTTCCTGAAGAAGAAGTTCAGAGAATTACGAAGCAGTTGGTACTCTACTAGATTGGCATCTCTTTTCTTTCAGATTTCACCATCTATGAATAAAAGAACTTATAATCTTGATATGTGTCCACCCATGAACTAATTTATGGACAGATACTTGTCAAGTTTTTAGAGACATTTCCATATAAGAATTTACACCATCAATGTATAAAGCATGGGTTCATTATCTTTTTGGCTCTTAAAAAATCATATGTTGTTGATGGTTCTATATTAAAGTTGTATGCTATTAGCATCCTTTAATATTTTCTTACCTACTGAAAACTTTCAGGTCAGAGCATTGCACTACTTACATTCCAACCGAATTATTCATCGTGACATGAAGCCACAAAACATCCTGATTTGTGCTGGGGGTGTTGTTAAGGTTGATTGGTTGGAACCTCAGCAATAACACAATTTACGTAAATCATTAGATTAATTAAACTTTCTTCTTAACCAACTAGCCTTAACCATTCGTCTGTTTTCATATGCAACAGCTTTGTGATTTTGGGTTTGCACGGGCAATGTCCACAAATACAGTTGTTTTACGGTCAATAAAAGGTAGCTTTGCTGCCACCTTTGCAACAATCCTACTAGATTATCTGTAGGCGGGAATTCACCATTTCTGGTTTCCACAAAGCTACACTCTTTATTCATCCATGTATTTGTTTTCAGGTACTCCCTTGTACATGGCTCCAGAATTGGTTCGGGAACAACCCTACAACCATACTGTTGATCTGTGGTCCCTTGGGGTCATTTTGTAAGTTATTTCTTCTTGGAATATGGGATATTGATTTACTACTTCATTTAGTTCCTATAACTCTGACTGCATTATCTGCCTCCCATTTCCTTCTTTATGAATAAAAACATTTTGTCCTTTCGTCTTTTTGTCCTTGTACAAGCAAGAAATTTAACTTTGTATTTTTGGGTTGGAGATGCTAAAATACACTGTGAATCCTTTTTTATACCTTGAGTAGATAAAATATGATGTCTTTTTGTGTGTGAGTTATTCCCTTTAAGCGTCATTCATGAAATATGTCTGCTGATATTTATTCTTACAGACATCCTTGAAATATGACTGTTGATATTAATTCTAACATTGATCAGGTATGAACTATTTGTCGGCCAACCTCCATTTTACACAAATTCAGTATACGCACTTATTCGACACATCATCAAGGTATGTTTTTAAACCAAATTCGGTTGTGAGAACATAATTTAGTAATATACAAATTCATTTTATACTGCTTCCAGGATCCAGTGAAATACCCAGACAACATGAGTTCAAATTTCAGAAGCTTCCTCAGGGGTTTGCTTAATAAGGTATATTGATCAATCTTTGTAATAGTTTATTTGCATGCTTAATGTAATTACTATCAACTGACAACTGTTAACTGCTTATCAAAATCATGAGAGCAGGATCCTCATAACAGGCTGACATGGCCCCATCTGCTTCAGCATTCATTTGTTGCAGAAACTTTTGAAGATGTTGAGGCTAAGGTAATTATCTTTTGTTATTTTTTTATTTCCTTTGGTGCTTTAATCCATTATTCAAGAAAATGACATTTAGAGTACGATGATCTATTACAAGGAACTTCGTGCCAACACAGCTGCTGATAGAGTAGGTGATGCTGCCTGGAAAGGGGAAAGACATGTAGAAGCAACTGATCTGACGTCCGCAAGTCCGGAAGGTAGGCTTTCAATGGAAATTCACTGAGTTACTTAACTGATCTTGAATGAGCCTAACTGCTTAAGAGACATTTATGCAGCTAAAAGCCAATCTCCCACAACTACGAATGAAAGTAGCAAAGCTCCTGGTTATCAGACTGATTCCAAATGCAATGATCAACACTCGGCTATTGTCTGTTCTTCACCACAAATAGAGTCTCAAAGGGTTGCACAAAATAATAATGTACAGTCAGGTAGATTACTGTCAACTTTGAATTCTTTTCTATGTATCACAATTTCGTAACATAAAACTTCACTTTTCTCCTCCATGCTATTTTTACAAAGAATTGGTTTCCACCACTTGTTGATTATATCTAATTTTTTTTCTCAAATTTTAGGCAAAATTTATGCTTCGTATTGCAATAGATTAACTAAATGATTATGGTACATGGTATTCTCTAGTCTCTACTTATTGTGATTCTTGTATTTGTTTTAGCAACCAAGTGCTTCTACTATTGTACTTATATCAATTGTTACTGCTATATTTATTCTTATTTATGTTTATCGACTTCCCTTTCTTTAGAGATAGAGTACGCTTTTACTGTCTGTCTAATACTGAATTTAGTTTTCACTTGATTTTGAGTTCGTTTTGTAAGATTTGGCTGTAAATCCTATATGAAAGAAAAAATCTTTCTGTATTTTTCGTGTGTTTAATAACAACATAATAGACTCTGTAAAATTAAAATTGCTGGATTTTCTAATATCATGATGATGTTGCTTGCAACCTTGCTAAGAGGAGCTAATATGAAGAAGCACTGTGGAAATCCCGTATTCTAAAAATTCAATAAAAACTGATCATTAAGCATCATGGTACACACACATAGTTCACAGAAGTTATTTTGGGTATTTTTGAGGAAGAGATGTATGATAGGTTCTATTCTCTTATCAGGTTGCGAACTATTGGACAGATTGGAAAATAACTCTCGCACTGTTAAGGGTGCGAAGCTAATTGGTCTAGATAACGAGTCACTATCAGTTATCTTACTGCCTCTCAAACATAGATCGTGCAGGTAAAACTTGGTATCTGGATGCTTCTGGAATAACTATCTTTTTCTCAAATATATTTCTCAAAGTGTACTATTAAAGATGTTTTTTCACCATGCATTTTGTTTAGACTGTGAACTCTCCCCATTCGAAGAGAAGTCTTATGTTGTCCACCTTTTCATGAAAGACATAGTTTTCCCTTCTGCAGATGTGCTGCTCATTGAGATAACATTTATTTGAAGTCTGCCAAATTGGCGGTGTTAAATGGCTCTCCCCATATGTTAAATCACACACACACACATAGATGGTTTAAGTTATGGATCCCATACATTGAAGAACCCTTGTGGAAATTGTATCTTCACACATAAGTTGGCCTCTCATAGAACCCATTGGATGAACCCACGTGGTATGGAGACTACTCTTTCACAAATGCAGTTATTTTGTAAAGAAACAAAAATGCCCTATTCTTTATTTTTCCTTATATTGTTTTATCTAAACTCCAATCTCTGACTTGTTCTCTCCTGCACTATTTTTTATGAGACTATTATTTTCTGAATCAGAAAGGTTTCTTTTTCTTCTGACAAGTGGGTGCTTACTTATGCTGTTGAGATTTTAGTTGGTTCGCACATGCGTAATTTTATTTTTAACACTTGTAACGTTTATAGAATTTTCTAAAGTTTTTTCCACCTTATTACATTCAGGAAGAAAAGGTTTTAAGTGTTTAACATACTGTTACACTTTTGTTCGTGGGATTTGTATTGTCAGATGTCTAATTGTTATCTTATGAGGTTTCATGACCACAACGTTGTCCAGGGATCAGGATGTTCTCACTTCAAACCAGTCCCTGAGAATTCTTTCAAACTTAGTTGCTGCTGGTGCTATTAATTCTACAGGGGTGCTAGATGAAATATTTTGGGAACTTATAGGATTTACTGCTAATCTTCTTCGCATAAAAAAATCAGATTATAGTGACCTACTGGCAAAGGTATGTTATTATTTATTAAGAGTTGTAAAGCTGCCAACCTAGTCTTCTCTTTCAGCAACTGTTAGTCGCTTTTCTTATTAATCAGATATGTCCTGTTAATTCAATTCCATAAGAAAAGCGACTAACGGTTGCCAACCTAGTCTTCTCTTTCAGCTCTATCAATTATGTTTTGACACGATAATTACTGCCAAGTCTGCTTTTAGTTGCAAGTAACTATAAACACATCAATTTTTTTTTGGAGCTATAAAGTTTAACATAAAGCATCTGTTTTTGAAAAAATACATTTGCAATTTCTTTGTATTTCAGTTTCTGCCTTTGTAAAAATACATTTGCAAAAGATTAAATTTGGTATGGCTTTCTTTGTATTTCAGTTTCTGCCTTTGTAATGTTCATTTTCTGTTATGTTGTCACATTTTTTTTAAGTATATAATATTTATATACGGCAAATAKAACAAATAAACTCACACACCCTCCTCACCCTTGGTGAGGTTTGAACCCTTGACCTCCTAGGAGGCCAAGGACTCACATACCGCTAGGCCAAAGGTCCTTTGGTATGTCGTCACATTATTATTGACACGCTGATTGTCATTTATGGTTTTGTGCAGTGTTTTTCAGTTATAAAAAAGCTATTGGATAACTGTGGCGGTGGATTTGGAGATTCATATATCAAGCAGTGGGTTGCCATAGTGGAGCTGTATAAAGAGGTTATACTTTTCAAGCGAAGATATATCATTGATGATGTAGAAATTTTTTGCTTTGTCTTATCTCTCAATTCTGGTATATGTAGGTTTCTGGTGGTGCAGAAGATGCATCTGGAAGAATTCTATATGAATCCATTGCCTGCATTACAGTTCTTCTATCTCGAGTAACACAAGGTCTCAAAGCATCTCTGGGCACTAAGCGTGCCGAGATGGTTGCAACTCCATTGATAAATGAAGCTTTTAAAGAGATATTGGATCATGCTAAAACAGTGGGCCTAGCAGATATTTTGATTTCACACTTAGTAACTTGTGGCACAAGCCTCATGTCTGGTTCATCAAACTTGTTACGTGCTGCTTGTGAAGCATGTAGGACTATTTGGTCATTGATAGATGCATTTGAGATTCAGTCTACAAAAGAAAATGCATGCTTATTTCCACTGAGCTCAATGTGTAACTACTCCTTAGAACGGCTTGACTTGAAAGGAGATGAATGTGAATCATTGATTGGTACGGATTCAGCAAAAATTGTTGATGCGGTGACAAGAGCATTCCTTAGATCCAAAGCCGTACAGGTTGCATTTTACTACTGTCTTCGCCAGCGCCTAGAGGCTGCATGGTCTTCTAGCATTCAGGTGATTATTGTTAACAAGCTTTTCTTTTATTTACAATGCAAAAGTTTGTGACTATTATGCTATTAAGACTACATAAAATGGTGTGTCTTGATGGGATGCAAAACATATAAAATTGTCTTAGGGTCACAAATGGATGTATGTTATTGTGTGGACTTAAAGCAAGTGGCTAAGATCTCGCACCATGTTAGAGATGAGCTTGTAGCTTGCTGTTAAAAAGGTTTAGTTTTTATCTTTTTGCCAAGTTTGTAGCTTAACTTATACTCAATTTAGCAATTCCTAATATGTGCTTTTAGGGAATTGTTGCTTGTTTCCGCATCTTCCAATAATAAGTTGATTTTAAATTTTAATATAAATATCATAATTTTGTATATAATTTGCATAAAATTGTGATGTGATCTTTAAAGAATTCAAGCGCGTTGTTGCTATAACTAGTTAAGTGGTTAACCCCACATCATGGCATGGGGAAATTCTGCTCTTGCACCTTTCCATGTGTTTTGGTGCAATAGAGGCAAACACCACGTGGGATATTAAGCAAGGCATTGCATTGATGCACTAGAACTTGCCTTTCATTTAGTTCTTATTGCAGCCATTTCAACATCATTTTTGACTTCCTGTGTTGATTCATTGACATTCCAATGTCCACTTACCATGCCAACTTCAATCCCCCCATCCTGAGTGTTACTCATCTTCATTTCAAAACTTGTGATAATACCTCATCTATCTTTTTCTTCATGGAAACACCATTCTTTTTTGTTCATGTGGGTTTTCTATCTGAAAAGAAAGAGAACTGGCCGTTGATCATCAAAAGATGTTGTGTTTGACTCCCTACTTCTTTAATATATGCTCCCTAGTAGTCGTGATACATTATAAAAACAGCAGTGAGTTATAATCTCCAAGACTCCCATAGTTGTTGTGACACAGAAACCTTCCGACCCAGATTCACATATTTAAACCTGTTTTTTGTTTCTTTTCCGTTGTATATAAACATTGTGTTAGGAATATATACATATTTGTTTTTTCATGGAAGTAGTAGATATTGGTTATTCATTTCATTTTGGTCACTCTAAGGTACTTGTTTTATATGTGTGTTGAGGGGTGGCCATGCTGCAAACTACCTGCCTTGGTTCTTCACTGGGTTGGTGCTATTGTTGTTCCACACACTACAACTCAACAGAATTGTGTTTTGATGACTTGTAATCCTGCAGTAGGACCTTGTGCCACTTATGTTTTGACTACTAACACACTTATTTGTTCCTTTCACTTGGTCCATACTCCTTGATCTTCTATTATGCGAGGGTTAATATGATTTATGTTTTCTGTTTCAGATCATCTTAAGGTGCTGCCTGCATAATAGCTTGGTTACTGGTGTTTTATGCGGTCTCCCTAGCTCTTTACCTGTTACCACAGTCGTTAGTGGAGGCGGTGATAATACCATCATTTCAGAGATATTTTCAATATTATCTCTTTGTGCTTCCTTTGACAGGGACGCACAATCAGGAGACACGAATAATCTGAAAAGTAAATTAGCCAATCCATGTGCCCTAGTTTGCCATTCATGCCTTCTACTTGCTGCAGTTGCACAATCCTTAAAGTCTGCTGGAAGGAATTCTGCACTATTTATGCTTACATCATCACCAAGAAAGCAGCGGTCTCGCCTTTCTGACCTTGCTCACCATTATTCTTTATGTGATAGAATACAGAATTCCTTCCAACCTCATTCTATGTCTGCTATGCTAGCACTTGCATCCATTTTGTTCCTTGAAAGTGGTGCTTCTGTTGAAACGTCAATTTCCGAAATAGCCGTGCCTTTAATTCCACGGAGTGCAACACTTTGTGATTATCTCAGGATTTTAACAGCAGATGACAACGGAAGGGGAGATAAATTTAGTAAAGGCAAGCTCTCATATTGGCATGGGCTTAGGGATGGCTGTGTCGGTTTGTTAGAGTCCAAACTAAAGTGGGGCGGGCCTTTAGCTATTCAACAGTTGTGCGCCAGTGGTGTTCCCCAAACTCTTATTGATTTATTAGGAAACAACCAATCTGATGCTTCATCACAAGATCATGATCAAATTGGACTATCACCTGTTGGAGTTTTATGGACAGTTTCGTCGCTATGCCAGTGCCTTCCTGGTGGCAGTTCAACTTTTCGCCAGGTTTTGCTTAGAAGGGAACACGTCAAACTTGTGTCAGATTTGATGTCTGATGTGCATCTCAAGCTTATAAGGTGTTGGGGTGGACCTGGTGGAGGGAAAAATGGAATTAGAGACACAGTCAATGCTGTAATTAATCTCTTGGCATTTCCATTTGTGGCAGTACAAAATGTGCCAAGTTTTCCATCTCCTGCTGCTGCTGCTGCTTCTGTGAATAACGGTTTTCTTCTAAACATGGGGTCTCCTGGTGGTAAGGTTTTTGCTGACGACAAGGACATGGTTAGAGCAATAGAAGCAAGCATGGGAAAGTATATTCAAATCCTTCTGGAGGTTAATATTCCCATACATATTATAAAAATATTCAGAGTCCAGAAACGATTGAGGAGTGCATGTTTATGACTAATTTTGTAAATGTTGGTTTTGCATCTGGCAGGTAGGAATTCCTGGGCGAATAATTCGGTGTTTGGAACATGTGGAATTAAAGGATGCTGCAAGACCTGTTGCCTTTCTAGCGAAAATGACAGTTCATCAATCACTAGTTGTTCAACTTGTGGGCAAAGGTCTGTTAGATCCAAATATGATGAGACGGTTACTTGATAGTTCATCACCAAGAGAAGTCATACTGGACATTCTGATGATAATTTCAGATCTAGCACGGATGGATAAGGTCAGGTCTCTAATGGTTCTTGTCATAGATAGCATTTGTTAGGTCTTTTTCTATATCCAGACATTCTGTTTGATGCAAAGGTCTTTGTCAAGTTACCTGCCATGTTGTTGGAGATTCCATTAATTATGTTTATTATTTTTTTAATGAAGAAAATGTGTGAGAATGCAGGTTTTCTATGAGCACATAAATGGAGCAAATATCTTAGAATTCTTGAAAGAGTTTCTTACACATGAAGATCCGAATGTGCGAGCCAAGGCTTGCAGTGCTATAGGCAATATGTGTCGGCATAGCTCCTACTTTTATGGTTTGCTGGCAAGTATCTTTTTTCTTTATCCATATGTCTGAAAGTATATTTACTGATTACTTGGGTCTCTTTATTATTATGTTAGGCAAAGCACAATATCATAAGCCTCTTGGTTGATTGTTGCTCTGATGCGGACAAACGTGTTCGTAAATTTGCTTGTTTTGCAGTAAGATACCCACCAAAATTTTCAATTAGTTTATCTTCATATTGCTTGCTGTAGATTGGACTGACTTTGTTCTGTTTTGTTTTTTTTTTTAAATAAATAATATATATATATATAGATTGGTAATGCAGCATACTACAATGACTTGTTTTATGAAGAGCTGAGAAGATGTATACCTCAACTTGCAAAATTGTTGGTTTCGGCAGAGGAAGACAAAACAAAGGCAAATGCATCTGGTGCTCTCAGCAATCTTGTTCGCAATTCTAATAAACTTTGTGAGGATATTGTGTCTAAAGGAGCCATGCAGGTATAGATAGATATTATTTATCAAATTGGTATATCTTTTATATGCATATGTATGCATGTATGTATGTAAGTAATTGTAAAATATGTATGTATGTTTGTTTGTTTCAGGCTTTGTTGAGGTTGGTTGCAGATTGTTCAATTGTTGCGCTGAACCCCGCAAACAAGAGAGATGGTGGTATTAATGAGTCACCTTTAAAGATAGCACTGTTTTCGTTGGCGAAGATGTGTGCACATTCACCTTGTAGGCACTTCCTTCGTTCCTCAGATCTGTACCCGGTGATTGCACGACTACGTCAATCATCGGAAACAACCATTGCCAATTATGCTTGTGTCATTTTAGACAAAACCTCCTCTAAAGCTTAAATAACATTCATGAAAACATAAATCATATCGTATATATAGTTAGTTTTTGAATTATGCTTTCATTCATAAACAGATATTAGTTTTAATTTCTATATTTATTAAGCATCTCTATACCTCCTTGACATAAAATGAGGTGATGTGGATAATAAGTCATTCTGATAATATTTCATCTCTTATTTAAGAAAACCTTTTCAAAAAAGCTCATTCTTATGCAAATTAATGTTATGTGCTTTACATATTCTTAATATTGTTTGTAATATAAATTGTACTTTCTTGAATCTAATATGATATTTTTTTTAAGACAAATATTTTGTTTGTAAGAAAGCATAACACTTATTTATTTTTCTTGTTCTAAATATACATATTCTTTTAACATTTTTAAAATATTGTAATATTAATGAATAACTTAAAAAATTTCTAATTAATTTAATACATTTTATCACTATATAGTATCTTCTTATAAATAAAACATTTAGACTAAGCTCTTATAAAAAAAACCTATAAAGCATGTGGTACTTTTTTTATGCACAACTTTTTAATCACAACATCGTAAGCTTGATGTACAACTCGTTAAGCTCTTACAAACAAAAGAATTGTCAATATTTCCAATGTACAACTTATTAATGCTACAATCCACTTCATCTTTTTCACTAATAAGAACTTACATCATAAGCTTCATTAAAAGTTGATTCATTACGATGAATCCTTTCCTTAGCAAACTAAGGAAAAAGTTGGTCATCTGTACGGTTTGACATACATAAGTGGTCATATCAATATACTATAACATTCGATCAAATGTGGTTCATCCATTGGCAGTAACCTATGTAAGTGGTGATATCATATATATATGTCAACCAGTTTATTGAATTATAAAGTCTAGGAAATGTTGATTGTCAAGTGTGAGTTGCAGTTTGATTTCAACACCTTGAGGTCTTATGCAAGCTTTTGGATCTTATTTGATTCTTACAGGTTCTCACATTAGTTACTTTGGTGCAAATGAGAGATGCAATACTTAAGGTTGTGGGAAGAAATAAACCTTTTTCACATATATGTATTTCATTGTGGCATGCCTACTTTTCTAACTTACGATCTATCTACAAGATACAACACTTGATTCCCACCTTGCTATCACATATTTTGCATGCAGCTACTTCAATCCATTGTCTAAACATTATTTATGTACTAATCCATTGCCTAAACACGTGGAATATAATTTCTACTTGCTGAACTGTAGATTGAAGTCTTAAATCTGAAATAGGAATTTGACTTGCATGCAAAATGCTTCCTTAATTGGTAGATGGATGATGTTGTTTTCTTTCCCTTTTACCACCTTTAATATTTAATTCTTCTCACAGGTTCTAAGGCAAAGGTGCATTAGGTGCTTCTAGTTCTAGTAGTAAGTAAAGAGATGTATATTGATGCAAATAGATACTTATAGTGTTTTCATGGAATCAAAATTAACATTTGATATGAGAGAAAGTACTTTTAGAGTATTTCTGTAATAGAACATCCATATGTTGGATCACTGTTCAGTTTGGACATGACCCCTCTGGAGATGAAACTATACGGAGATATGCCTCTGTCAGACTATCAATGTCAAGCTTGGAAAGGTCACCTTTGAGAGGCAAGTGGTTTAGAGTACATGTACCAACTTTTTGATGCAAGTATTTATTCGGATTCATTTATAGTTTTCTATTATACTAAACATTTCTTGGTCTTGTGATTGTGACCCTGTAGGTATATACTTAAAAGACGGTTAAAACCGATATCCTGGAAATCGGAAAAGAGAGCATCTGAAAAATATTTTATTGGAAGATAGTAGAGATATTATGATTGACAGGTTACCTATGATGGTCAAGTCTGACTTGTGCTGGATGAGCAATATCACAATTTTCATATTTTCTCTTTGCTTGTGGTTTAAGCATTTAGAGAATGATGTTTGTAAGGGAAACTCTTGATTGTTTCGTAGCCACTATGAGCACATGGGTCCTCACTTTCAGTTTCACAACAACTGAACAAGATTTAAGCAAGCTAATCTTGGCACCTGATATTTTACCACCAAACTTTGCATTGGAAGTGTGATCTGGAGAGTTCATTTTATACATTGGAAGAGAAGAACTTGGCACCAATGGATAAGAATGGTGATTTACCCTAACCCGGTTGGGAAACCGACCTGAACGGGGGATTCCCCTTTAGAACGGGTCCCGATACCAGGGTTGGGGATTTTGCGGTAGACTCAAACAGGGGTTAGGCTCGGGGATCGGTGGCATATCCCCCGCCCCATACCCGTTATATAATTTTATCAATATATATATATATATATATATATTATTTCTTTTCTAAAATTAGGTCTTGACCGGGGACGAGATGTTAATCTCCATACCTGCCGGGACCGGGGGTTGTTGCTAAAAACGGGGGATTACAAAACCCGTCCCATTACCGTGCCTACTAGGGGAGGGGAGCAAGCTTGTTCTGTAAAATTATCATGAAATGACACATTATACTTGTCTAATATTTCTCTTTTGTTGTTTTGTGCATCACACTTCTTTTCCTTTTCCTTTTCCATTATGTTGTTTTGCAAGACAAGTGCCATCAAGTTGTTATAAAAGATGTGAATCAATAACCAGTTTTGTCCACAAAATGTTTGTGCAACCTATATGGTGCATTAGCTAACCTTAATCTTTCAAAGAAAGATGGGTAGGTTAAATATAATATGGAGTTCTCTAATTTAAAGAGAGAAATATGTTCATCAGACATATGTTGTAATAAATGCAAAATTAATATCTGATTCAGTCAAGAATGGTGGTTTTGTAAGAAATAATAGTTATTGATGGTTTTCGAGAGGAATAAAATGATGGGTTTTGTTGTTAATTTGTGTTTGTTCATTCACGTACGTTTGTTCATTTAACATCTTAGGGAATGAACAAGAAGAAACACCTTTTCTTAATGAATTAATATAAACACACAAAAATTCGTTCATTTACCATTTGTGTTTATTTTTCCTGGTTAAATAAAATGAGTGAAACAAACTTCTTTTCATGCCCTTTTTTTTTGTTTCATTTACTGCCCTAATTACGACATCTTGAAAAAAAAAACATTAGATCTCAAAATCTATTTGAAACATTTACATCCCGCAATATTGTGTGGGTATACAACTAGTTAAATAATAAGTCAAGTCAATTTTTTAAAACAAATATGATATATATTTTTCTCAAGATAAATATTTTGTTTGTAGAAAAATGTAACACTTGTTATTTTCGTTGTTTAAAAGCAAAATACATTTTTAACATTTTTGAAAAAAATGTTAACGAGATAAATTGTGATATATAAGTCTTTTTTAATATTGTTATATTAAAAATAATTTAGATTTTCTAATTTATTTAGTGCATCAATATGATTTTTTGAAAGTTCAATGTTGTAATAAGAAATGTCACCTCAACAAAATGTTATACGTGAACACCCATCTGGACAATGACATGACATGGAAATTGATAATCCGCGCTATGTTATCTCAATTCAAATTAAAAGGTAGCCCATTTGCTATAAGAGTTGAGAGTTTTTCTTATGAAAATGAAAGTTGTGGTATTATAATTAAATATCAATTCTCGTGATAAGCACATTTTATGAGATTAAAAGTGATCTTTTATTACGATTCTCACCTTAAATATTTCAAAGTATAATGTCTTAATTTGAAAGTAACAAGTAACAATGAAGATATAATATTATAAAATAAGAAAATTAGTAAAAATAAATGAATATTTCATCAGTTTTATAATGATCTCTTCAACTTTATCTATACTATCTTATAAAACATTTGGCTAAAACTCTTAAAGATAATCTATATTGCTAATAGTACAACCTATCAAAGCCATCCCTAAACCCGTTCATCCCTAAACGATTTCATCTTTATCCGATTTCATCCTTATCCTATTTCATCGCCAACAGAAACCCAATTCCCTCCCTATCCGATTTCATCGGTTCCAGATTAGATTTCATCAGTTCCAAATTATGATTGAGATAATCGACTCCAACAGAATTTAGAGATRCRYATATATTTGACATATTTTCAATCCATTAGCGTCAATCCAGAATTAGAGGAGGTAATCTATTTCTTTTTTTCTTTAGCCAACTTCTTTGTTCAAGAACAGATTCAAGAAACCCTAATTCGCACCATTGTAGAGAGATCTCGTGCGGGCACAATTGAGGTATTCGTTCGTAATCACAACGTCTGGAAAAGATTGCAGTTTACAGGTTCATATTTGTTTTCTATTTATGTTTAATTTAGT